TCCTGCGCAGAGACTTTTAGCAATAAAGTGGTTTAGTTAGAAGATTCCTGCACGAAGACTTTCAGCAATAAAGCAGTTTAGTTAGAAGATTCCTGCGCAGAGACTTTTAGCAATAAAGTGGTTTAGTTAGAAGATTCCTGCACGAAGACTTTCAGCAATAAAGCAGTTTAGTTAGAAGATTCCTGCGCAGAGACTTTTAGCAATAAAGTGGTTTAGTTAGAAGATTCCTGCACGAAGACTTTCAGCAATAAAGCAGTTTAGTTAGAAGATTCCTGCGCAGAGACTTTTAGCAATAAAGTGGTTTAGTTAGAAGATTCCTGCACGAAGACTTTCAGCAATAAAGCAGTTTAGTTAGAAGATTCCTGCGCAGAGACTTTTAGAAATAAAGCAGTTTAGTTAGAAGATTCCTGCACGGAGACTTTCAGCAATAAAGCAGTTTAGTTAGAAGATTCCTATGCATGGGCTTTTAGCAATAAAGCGGTTTAGTTAGAAGATTCCTGCACGGAGACTTTCAGCAATAAAGTGATTTAGTTAGAAGATTCCCATGCATGGGCTTCTAGCAATAAAGCAGTTTAATTAAAAGATTCCCGTGCAGAAGCTTTCAGAAATAAAGCAGTTTAACTGGATCTTCACAGATGGGCGTGGTCTTTCGCGCCTGACAGGAGCAGCCCTCTTCGGTTCCCCTAACCCAAATGGGGCTTCCTCTTGAAGAACAAGAGACACCAACTCGAAGTTCTCAACCCTACCGTTTTCCTACAAAACCCAGAATAGAACCAGCCCAGCCAGCTCTCCCGTAAGGAGCCAAAGACTGGTTAAAGAGAAGGCCCGTCTTCTCCTTCGTCCTCAGGAGGGGACGTGGGCCGAGAGGGAGAAGAGGACCAAGCCCCCGAGAGACCCACCATTCACGTCAAAGTCCTGGAGAAGAGTTTGGGCCTTCTTCTTGAAGTCGTCCGCGCAGTGGATCAGGCCCGTCTTGAACTTCTCCTTGTGCTTCTTCAACATGGTTTCGCTGTCCAGGAGGCATTGTTGGAAGGCCAGCCACTCCGAATTCAGGTCACCCAGCAGCTGCAGCACCTGGCGGGACGGGAAACCGAGCAGCGTTGAGCACAAAAAAAGGTGGGGGCCAGCAGAGAGAAGCACCAGAAAATTGTGGCAGGAATTGTGGGGGGCATGGACCAATAGAATGAGGCCATGGCTAACCCAGCGGTCAGCAAACTGCAGCTCCGGAGCCGCATGTGGCTCTTTCATCCCTCTGCTGCGGCTCCCTGTCACCAGTCAGTACCACAATTTTGAGAGGAGCCTCCGGTTTACGGGGGTAGGGTGGAGGGGTGAAAGGAAGCAGGGCGTGGAAGGAGGAGACTATGGCAAGAGGCAGGTTTTCCGGTCGGCTCCACAATTGATAGGGCTTTCGGTTAGGACGGGCGGAGGAAAAAGGATGCCGTGCTAGGAGGAGACTCTATGGTGGGGGAACCAGATTTCCAGTCAGCCGCAGAATTGAACGGGGGGCTTCCGGTTAGGACCTTTGTGCTCCTTGAGTGTTTAAGTTTGCCGNCAGGAATGGATTTCCAGAGGGGGGAAATAATTGCAGACTACAGGAACCGTTTGCACCACTCAGGTGACCCTGAGGACACAGATAAACCTCCAAGTGGCCTCAAGGACCCTCTGAAAGGATGCAAATGACCAGCTGTCTGCAAGGAGGATCAATCCTTCCATTCCCCACCATCCAGTCAGAGCTGAAGAAACTTCTTGGATGAGAAGAGAAACGTCTTCAAAAGAAAAATAAACAGAAAGTCCAGATGCCACCTGAAAAAAATCACCTTTGGGACAATTGTGACCTGGAGGATGGAGAATCTCCATAATAGACGACGGAATAGGAAGCTGCCAAGAGGCTGTGACTTCTGCCCCTGGGCTCTCTTGGTGGGGAGCTTTCCTCGGTCTGAACCTCAGCGAGATGAGAGGGGAGGACTTCCTGGTTAGCTGGCAGCCAGCAGCTCCTAAGAACCCCCTCCCCACACCCCACGCCTGGAGGGGAGGAAGACCCCTGACCTTGTACTCTGCCAGAAGCCGGTTCCGCTCTTCCACCTTCCGCTGGAGATCAGCCTGGCGAAGCAAGATTCGAACGCAGAGTTGGGACCATGGCTCGCAACCCCCGGGCTGAAGCACGTGGTTGCAGATTCGAAACGGTCGCCTTTCTACCTGGCAGCGGAGGGGGGGGGGGCATGGTGCCCTTTCCAACCTTCCGTCTCTCCTCCCACCGGAGACCCCTGGGAAGACCCCCTCCCGTGTCCCCAGGCCTGCAGAGGGCAGCCCTTGTCCTCCGTCAGCCGGTTTGCCTCCCATCCACACAGAAAAAGACAGACTCACGTTCTGGCTGTGCAGCTCCTCCTTGTCCATATTGGCTCTCAGCAGCTCCTGCTTTATCTGCAGCATCAGAGGGTCCTGCTGGGCCAACCTCTGCTGCAAAGCGTCCTCCAAAAGGAAAAACGAATCAAGTAAATAAATGCGCCCCGTTTGAGGCTCCGAGCATCACCACCTCCCCTTTAATCAATGCTGCAGAGCGGCATGTCTGCACCTTTTCCCCAGGGGGTTCGAACTGACTTTTTCGATCTCTTTCTAACGCTGCTTCCCCCGTGTTTCCCCTGAAAATAAGACAGGGTCTCTTTTTTTGTTCTTTTGACCACCGAAATAATAGAAGAGAAGAGAAGAGAAGAGAGAAGAGGAGAGGAATAGCAATAGAGAAGAGGAAAGAATAGAATAGAATGGAATGGAATAGAAAATAGAATAGAATAGAATAGAAACAAGAGAAGAGAATAGAGAAGAGGAGAGGAATAGCAATAGAGAATAGAATAGGATAGAATAGAATGGAAAGGAATAGAAAATAGAATAAAATAGAATAGAAACAATAGAAGAGAATAGAAAAGAGGAGAGGAATAGCAATAGAGAAGAGGAAAGAATAGGAAAGAATAGAATGGAATAGAAAATAGAATTGAATAGAATAGAAACAATAGAAGAGAAGAGAATAGAGAAGAGGAATAGCAATAGAGAAGAGAAAAGAATAGGAAAGAATAGAAGAGAAGAAGAGAAGAGAAGAGAATAGAGGAGAGGAGAGGAATAGCAATAGAGAAGAGGAAAGAATATAATAGAATGGAATGGAATAGAAAATAGAATAAAATAGAATAGAATAGAAACATGAGAAGAGAAGAGAGAAGAGGAGAGGAATAGCAATAGAGAATAGAATAGGAAAGAATAGAATAGAATAGAATGGAATAGAATGGAATAGAAAATAGAATAGAATAGAATAGAAACAATAGAAGAGAAGAGAATAGAGAAGAGGAGAGGAATAGCAATAGAGAAGAGGAAAGAATAGAATAGAATGGAATGGAATAGAAAATAGAATAAAATAGAATAGAATAGAAACAAGAGAAGGGAAGAGAAGAGAGGAGAGGAATAGCAATAGAGAATAGAATAGGAAAGAATAGAATAGAATGGAATAGAAAATAGAATAAAATAGAATAAAATAGAATAGAAACAAGAGAAGAGAATAGAGAAGAGGAGAGGAATAGCAATAGAGAAGAGAAAAGAATAGGAAAGAATAGGAAAGAATAGAATAGAAGAATAGAATAGAATAGGAAAGAATAGAATAGAATAGAATAGAGGAGAGGAGAGAATTCTTTATTGGCCGAGTGTGATTGGACACACAAGGAATTTGTCTTTGGTGCAAATGTTGCAGTGTGCATAAAAAGGCATGAAAATAAACAACTTGGCCTTATTTTCGGGGAGGTCTTATTATTTTTGGGGTGCTGGAGGCGGTGAGCGTGGTCCCCTCATGGCTGCTGCTGTGTTGCAATATTTTCAGGGAAGGGCGTATTTTAGTGCATGCCCTCAAAAGCCCGACTGGGCTTACTCTCCAAGCAAGTCTTATTTTGGGGGGGGGGGGGAAGGGTAATTTTTTTAAAGAGGGGGACCCCCAATAAGCTCCATGAGCCTGGCCTCACGTTATTCAATTGTTTCTTAGATTTATGGCGTGCCCCTCTAATTTT